GAGAGAGAGAGAGAGAGAGAGAGAGAGAGAGAGAGAGAGAGAGTGCATGACTAATTTCTTGACTTTTGAGAATGTATATAAATTTAATCTTACTGGTGACTTGGACCCACTAAACTACTATTTACTTTCTAGATGCAAACAGTTCTGCCTTGTATTTTCAGGAGTTTCAGAGCAAAAAGAAACAGGTGCATAGATTATGTGTGGGCAGACTTGTGAGTAAGCAAGTCCCGGGGTGGCCCCATGTGGCTGAGACGGGAGAGGCCTCCAACAGCACAGATTAGGTCAGGCGGCACCATTGCCACTGAACGGCAATGGCAGGTAATGTCACCAACAGGTAGCACAGTCTGAAAGCTAAAGACAGGAGCCACACTCAGGTCCAGCTCCTGAGCCCCAAGTCAGCTGGGCCCTTCTAATTTTGGCATTTATGTTGCTGCGAGCTTATCTCTCTATGACTACTGAATCCTGGGTGTGCTGTGAATACAGAGTGATTACATACACCTTTGATAGACGCACATACAGACCTCTTCCATATCTGCTGCCCTGAGTGCCATGTGAGGTCCAGACAAAATTATTCGCACAGATGGAATCCACGTGGGCAGAGCTTGTTGCATAAAATAGGAGTCTTTCCTTTTTCTCTGTCATCATCAGTCGCCTCCTAATATAGGAAATGTGAGACTTAACACCAAGAATAGTCCTCTCCCATCCTAGTTGATAACACTGATCCCAACTAAAGTTTAATCATCTTAAAATTTTCTTCCATCCACTTTCAAAATGGAAAATTTAAAACCACCACTGGAAAGTAATGAACTTATGGACACAATTAAGGGGTAGAAATTGAATGATCAAAATGATCTTCCCTAATATTATGTAAGGGGATGAGATAGTGTGGTCACCAACCTTTCAAACAAATTCAAGAGCTCTAGATTATGGATCTTCTTTATCTTTTCGATCTTGAAATTTTTCATAGACTCTTTGAAACGATCCCTTATGTTGACGTATTCTACAGACTCATTACTGAGATCCAGCAACTAAAAAAAATTAAAAATATATAAGTCAGAAACAGGAAACACTGAGAGCATGCCACGTGGATGGGCCCCCTGCGCCATGGACATCACTGCCAGTTCTCAGGCAGCAGGTGTCCACAGCTGCCCATTTGTGCCAGTAATGAGCCCAGCATGCATCGTGCCTGCCCACATAAGCTAAAGTAAAGCTAACAAGGCACTATGAAAAGGCAGGCCCCCGGCCCTGTCAACTGAGTAGAGTGATCCAACAAGCTTCTGGCCTAAAGGTCCAAAACCAGCGCAGTGGCGGAGGAACCAGATGTCCCCAAGGAGCCTAAGCAGATTGATCCACACAGAAATCAGTGAGATGTGGAAATGAAACTGGGGCCAGAGATAAAGCGAGCACAGTGAGCCACATCACTTATACTCTCACCCATGAGACCCAGGCACAGGCATCTGCCCCCCAGGGTCATGCTGAGGAGCTGCCCAGGTATGGCCAGGTGCAAATGAACCCTAATCAAAGGCAATTATCACTGCCTTTGAACGCCCGGAAACATTTCATTCATTCCAGCAAACAAACATTTCTATCAGGGTACTTTTTCCCAATGTTAAAGGATTCCCACACTAATGGAGTAAAAAAAAAAAAAAATCAAGTACCTTGTATCCATTCGAAGAGAGAGAGTGACCCTCACTCTGAGGAGCAAACGTTGAGGCCACAGCCTTGGGCAGGGTCTGAGCAGGCTGATGACTAGAAGCGGAGCACTGCACCCTCGGAGGACTGCAGAGAAAGACATTTCAATTGCTCCCTGTCCCATATGCCCATGCAACTTCCCACCCTTGACCTCTGCCCAGCGAGCCTGAAAAACCCAGTACTTAGTTCTGTATTTGTCTCTGGGCCACTCCCTTGCATCTTGCTGGTACTGATGTGCCAGTAGTCATGCTTTTAAATAATACAATAACTTGGACTAAGCGCCTGCTTTGGCAAGTGCAGGGACCAGGGTTCGATTCCCGGTCCCACATGCTATGCTGGCCCTGCCCCTGGGGCTTGCTGAGCCGGTGAGTGAGTCTGGGCGTGGTGGTGCACACCTGCAATCCTAGAGCTGGGGAGGCTGAAAACAGGAGGATCACTACGAGCCCAAGCTGCGTAGTGAGACCCTGTACCAAATACAAAAATAAATAAATTAAAAAGCAATAACCCCTCATAGACACGGATGCTTATCTTTCAGCTTAATTTGCAGAGGTGCTAAACATGTAGCAAGTGTGTTTTTTATCTGCTTTGTGGAACAATAAGACATTTTAGTAGGGATATGGATGGAAGAAATTGCCTTTTCTTGTATGGTGTGAACTATAATTTCATGGTAGCTATATATGAGGAAAAATTCTTTTTATATGAATTGCAACTAATAATGACAAGAGAATTAGAAAACCACCATTTGGTAATACTTAGTAACACATTGAACCTAAACAGTCATCAGCAGTAGATACTGTGACCAATAAGTGACATGAGATGAGGACGGGAAGGTTCACACACTGGAATGACTGAAGCCACGCCTTAATCTGCGTCATGAACACCTACGACAACTGGATGTCCCGTATCTTCTTAAGAAGATGTCATTGGAAGTGCTTCCTTCACAAAGTATTCTTGACCAAAAACTGAATAGAATCAGTTTTTCCAAATTCTATCATCATTTATGGGAATTATCCATTAAATGACCCAACAAAGATAAAAGTATGCTCATTTTGAACCTGGGAAATGCTGTAGGTTAAATCATTTGGCAACTTATAAAAAATAGCAACAAATCATATGAAAAAAGTGGAGGAAGGAAAGTAGTACATAAAAAGTGGAAGAGGGCAGTGAGATAGCTCAGTGATCTAAAGCGCTTGTTTACGCAAATGTGCAGGGACCGAGGTTCAACCCTCCGCACCACATGCCACGCCAGCCCACTCACAGGGAGGGCTGAGCTGGTCATAAAAAAAAAAAAAAAAAAGCCCTTCGAAGAAACAGATCAAAGGCAATGCACAGACCTATTTAGATACTGGAATAAGTTAACTCTGAAAAGTCATTCTTAAGACAATAAAAAAACAGCATGAACTAGATATAAGATGAGCAAAAGGAATTACTGCCACTTTTCTTAGGTGGCTTAAGGATATTGAGCAACAACTTTTACACTCCTTACCTATTAAAGACACCTAAAATTTTTAGAGAAATTACACACATGTGGAATGCACATAAACATCCCAGCAAAGAAAAAAATTGAGTTGATAGACTAGATGAAACAAGATGATAAAACATTGACAGTAGTTGAAGTTGTGAGTTTTTTAGTTTTGTTTTATTTTGGTTTTTTTTTTTTTTTTAATTTTTTTAGGAAAGGGTCTACAGGGTGTTCAGGGTCTCACTACTAGATTGGACTCATAGTGATCCACCTGTTTATAGCCTCCCAAGGGCTGGGATTAGAGGCGCGCACCACCATGCCCAGTCTAAATGGCCATCTCAGCATGCCCCGGGGGATCGAACTCCCACCCCCAGTGCCTATGCCTGCTTGCAGGTGCTTTAATCCACTGAGCTATTTGGCTGGCCCTGAAGTTGTAAGTTAGCTACATAGGTTATCATATAACCCTCTCTACTGTGGTTGATGTTTGACATTGACCCTGATCAAAGCAATTCCATTTAAAAAATATATATATATATTTTTTAACATTTATTTAGTGTGTGTGTGTGTGTGGCCAGCTCAGCCCACCAGGGGGCGCGGCTGGCTGGCATGTGGTGCTGGGGGATCGAACCGTGGTACCTGTGCTTTGCTTAGCTTAGTTTTTTCCAAGTAGGTGCTTTAGACCACTGAGCCATCTCTCCAGCCCGCATTTAAAAAATAAATACCTTCAGGAACAAATTGTTTAAAATACTCCTTGTGTAAAATAAAGTCTGTTTTGGACTGAAAAGACTGGCCCTGTCTTATCTGTATTTTATACTTGGATTTCCCTTGAAACCATAATGTTAAGGGAAATAAATCAGACACACAAGCTTAAACATTGCCTGGTCCTTGTTTTATGAAAAACTCAAAGCATAAATAAATCAAAGTGCAAAATAAACAGTAGATAATAGAAACTAGGGAGACAGATCACTTCCAAATGGGAAGGGGTTCAAGGGATGGAGGAGGGGAAGGGGAAGGGGCTATAAAAAGAACTAAGATACATTCACGTGCATGCACCAGTTCTGCACAAGGAATGTGAGCCCTATGTGCTGCAAGTGTGGGCTTAGAAATATTTTTTAAAAGAAACAAACAGCATCTGTGTCTCCTCTGGAGTGGGGGCAAAACAGTACCATGCAAGGTCTTTCCCTGCACATCGCCCGTGGACGCTGCTTCTCAATTCATTTTGCTACATCAGCTTTCTACTTTCAATCACTGTACACCAGACACAACACAAATTACTTCAGGAGCTTTGTGGATGTATAACTGAGCCCAGGAGAGGACAGAAAGGGTTTTGCTAGGGATGACATTTATAGCACTACTACAGTCATGCATCATTTAAAGATGGGGTACATTCTGAGAGATGCATTATTAGGTGAGTGTGTGGTGCTCACAGACTGGACTTTGGACTTAGCAAAAGCCTACGTGTGCCTAATACTACATATCTAGCTGTACAGGATCCCCCGGAATGTCATTATGTACCACACAATTCTATGACAAGCTACTAGGATGGGGTAAGTGAACTGAGGGCATCCAGGTCTGGCTAGAAAACAAAGGACAGACTCACAGCAGAGTCTCCAGGGAGGAACAGTGGCATTAGAGCTCGGCTGGATTCATAAGAATAATGGGAAAGAATGTTCCTGAAGCACAAGGATGCCCCAAACAGCTGTGACACAGATAAACAACTGAGACAGGGACTGGATGGACTGCAGGACATATTCAGAAATACTGCAACCCAATCAAGGTGGTGACAAGAAAAGCAACAGCCCTTCTAGTTTCTGCTGTCCAGAAAGGTGCAGGTATGCTCTCCCTAGCTGAGGTTACAAGGGTGTATCCACACTGGTAAAAAAGCAAACTTATCAGCCCTTTAAAAAATATGAACTGTGCTGCCTTATGGAAAATTTAAGGAAAACCTTGCCAAGAGGTCTTAGAAGAGCCATTCTAGTGAGTAAGAAGCACCTTCGAGGATCCCAGCAGTGGCCTGAGGCAAACAGCACCCTCAAGGCCTGCTTCTCTGCCCTCTGGAGTGTGCGAGCTGAGAAACTGTCACCTGGTGATTTCATTGTTTGCAGTCTTCCTAGGGCATGCTGTTCACACACAACAAGCCTTGTATGTGGTTGGCACTGACCGGAATGCAAGGCAGTGCCTGAGAGCAGTTACCAGTACACCGTCTTATCCATCAGAACGCAAGCTTTGTGCATGCATAC